GACAGCTACTAGTAATTTTACAATATGATGTTGAGGTAACTACTTATAATAAACTGTGCTCACATGAGCTCAAATCCCCAATTGATAATCTCACAAATAATTCATACCTCAGCACAGAGGTTATTGCTTCTATCATACCATACTAACAAACTTTGAACTATTTCCTTACATTGCAATTTAATCTAGGCCGTAATTGCGACACTTAGAAAGTTCAATTAGAAAATAGATTATTCGGCAATTTATTTAGTTGTGGGTAAATGTACTAATTATTAAAATATTATACGATATGGTTTTACAATGGCTCATTTATACACAGTGAAACTATAAAAGATTAAGAAGTTAAGAATAATGTGTTTGCTGGATAGATGCAACAAAGGTAGTAATTTTCTTAGAATGACAACCAAAGTGTGGTGGGGTTGCGATGTTGAAACATCCTTATTGTTTTACAGAGCTTATATACGATCCATTATAGATTATGGTGCTACTCTTTATGGTTCTGCATCTAGAAATCTTCTAAGAAAAATTAACATTTTTCTAAATTTTGTCTTAAGGGTCTGTTTAGGTGCTATGAGATCTACCCCTATACAACCACTACATGTTGAAGCTTATGAGCGTCCTCTTTAGATTAGAAGAAATTTATTAAGCGAAAAATGGGTACTTAAAGCCCACTCAACAAATACCAAATTATTTTCCAGTATACCTCAACTTAACGAATCAGATCTCACTCACAAATATTGGATTAAAAAGCCATCTCCACCTTTGTGCACTGCTTTACAGAACAATTCAATTTTTTCAAAGAATTTGGCCAAAGTAGAAAAAAAATTAGACTTCTTTGCTCTCTTCCATAAAGCTGAAGTTATAATACCCACATATAGTGACAACAACAAATTGAGCAACAATATTCTGAGATCTGTTTTGAACTGTTATAGTGATGCCACAGTTATATACACGGACGCATCCAAATCAATAGAAGGGACTGGCTGTGCCTATTTTCTACCCTCAGGAGGCTCTGAATTTAAGTACAAACTTTCCAATGAGTTTTTAATTTTCTCGGCGAAATCATTGGCCATACTCGAAGCTTTGAAATATGTTAAAAACTCTTATATTAAAAAATCGTTAATTCTTTCAGATTGCCTTTCAATTCTACAGAACATAAAAAACACTATTTTGGCCCAAAACATTTAGTAATCCTTTATATATTATATTTTTCTAATAAAAGATCAATTAAAGCACTTAGCAGACTCTGGCTTTAATATAAAATTTTTTTGGGTTAAGGCACATATTGGACTCAAAGATAATGAATATGTAGATTACTTACCTAAATACCAGTATAATATCAGACACTTTATTGTCATATTCTTTATGTGTATCAGATGCCATTAGAATTAAAAAAAAACAGCTATCGACATGGAAAGATCAATGGAATCTTTACTGCTTTACAAACCAAACAAGATACACCACTTTACAACCAGTTATTCCACAAACTACTTGGTTTAAGAATTTTAAATCTCCACGTAAATCATGAATGTGTTGCTTGTGTGAGTCCATTTCAAATAGTTAAGTTCAAATTCAAGTTCTATTGCAATAATCTACTATTTTGCCAATAGAACTTTATCAAAGAGATTTGATAACTACAAGTTGAAAAATAATTGCACACCCACACACATTTGTACATCTAAACTTATTCATTGTCATAAAACTGTCACCTTCATAAAACAATTACTCAATAAATAACACACATTTCATAAATATATCTCTCGAATAAGTATATAAATAACTTTTAATAATACAATGGTATATTACATAACTTCATTTAACAAACAATCACACACATACCTCTGCTTGATTGGATCAAATCTATCTCCTCAAGAACTTCCCGTTTACTGTCATACAACTACAATAGCAGAATTGAGTTCTCCATTCAACAATACATAGTAGTTTCAACCATGTTCTACCATCCATCAATTAATAGAGTACCGGCATGTAAGTAATGTTTATTTATTTGCTCATTTATTAATTTATTACAATCTAATAGACTATTTTATAACAATTTGTGGGCCTTACCTTGTCTGTTTAAACTTTTAAAACTTTTTATACCTTTTTATTCAACTTACTCTTTTTGAAATGTTAAACCACAGACATGTAATATTGGCATAATTATTGTAATTTCCAACATCTACTTTTATCTTTATTAGACAACACCCTAATATGGGTTTTTATCATTTCAGCATTTATTTAACTTTGTATCGAGACCTGAAGATGGTTTGCATATTGTAGAAAGCGAAATCGGTGGTCTGATAGTTAAATTAAATTGATTGTGAGTAAGTCTTATTTATTATTTCTTTACCTACTCCATGTAAATATATAACCACCATAAGTAGACTACGCTTTGGACATGCGTGTTATCCAAGTCATTTATATAAAATAAATGTGATTGAAGATGATAATTGCAAACAATTCCGGAAAACAAGGTGATCTTGATCACATCTTTTTTGAATGTCCTAAGTTTCAACAGCATTCAAACTCTCTCTACAAAAATTAATCGAATTTAATATGTATGCACCATTCAATATTCAGTCGCTACTGGAGACAGGCTCACAAAATATATATAATATCATAGATTTATTGTCAGACACATGCACGGTTCTATAGAATTTGTACGCGAGCATGAAATCTTTCATGATCATGTGGAAATTTAGATTTGTATCCTTTGTTTTACCCTAAATGTTATAACACCTTATCCGTGGTCCAGTTTTGTTTGTCTACTAAGAATGTCTGAATGGGCCCCTAGACGAAGAAGCAAGTGACCCTGTAAGTTTCCTTGTCGTTTATTCTGCTATTAATTATCCGTTAGTTTTCTATTAGGGATAGAGTTGTACAGTTGTCTGATTGAAGGATCTCTTGCAATTGGCTGAATGACTAATGTCAATGCCATTAAAAAAAGAGAATAATGTGAGATTACAATTTAAGGGATTAATTTGTGATTGAACACTATCAAACTATCTATAATATCCGTATACCGTTTTCAATTACAATTAACAGATTGTCTGCCAGCTTCTCTTTTACTGCATTAACAAAGAGTCATTTGAGAATCATATGTACTTAGTCCAGAAGATAAATTCAAATATTTAGGGCCAAATTTGGTACTCGGTTATACCTTACTAAACAACATACCTTGTAACTCAGCAGTCATCGCCTTCTATATTTTTATATGGAGAAATTAAAGTTTTGGCCTTGATTTTAGCCCTTGACTAGATGGCTTTTAACTTAAATATTTATTTACATAGTAGCGAAAGGCTAACAAATGGCATAAAAGGAGTTAACTTAAAAAGTTTAACATCAATGCTTATAAAGAAAAATTATTGTAATTTGGCAGCATGCGCCTTAAAAAACACTCAGAACACAAATATTTTGCACAAGCAGAAAACTTTGTTTACACACGGGTAGTCTTCTTTTATGCTGTTTTTCTTCCATGCCTGGTAGCAATATCCTTATAACATTAATTGCAGCGATTTCTTTTTGGACATTTTATTGAATTGAAGCATGTTTAAAATTTCTTTTGAATTATTTCCTTTATAAATTAGTTTCACGCCACTTATGTCTATATTTTGCTAGGAGCTTTAAATAACCCAAAAGCACCGAGCAATTTGTCATGCCTTTTTTTAACAACGAAGTAGTTCGCCAAATGTTCTCTGCTCTTTTTATCTATCATTTGTTAAATAGAAACCCTTCCTGGTAACAAAAGAATCAGTGCCTATTGTCGAATACATTCCTTCTCAGAAAAGCAGAGATGTTGATTTTGGATGAAATAATATATCTTGTCAAGAGAAAGCGTTTAGGTTACAAATACGACCACACTAGCCTTGCCATTTAAGTATTATTTTTGCGTAGCACTCTTCGGCCAATACTCCCACTCGTTTTTTATCCTTTGCTTGTCTAAGATCAGACCTCATTTCCGAGTTGGTTCCTGTGACAAGCAGTTTGTTTTTCATCATATGACGGTAAGTGTATTTTTCAATTCACCCTTATCTATATATCTTCACACAGTGCTTCTTATATTAACTATTTTCTCTTTTGTCAAACAGATGTCTTCCAATTCGAAGAAACGAAGTCACTTCTGTTTACCATTCGTCTCGTACCATTCGTCGCTACATTCGTCTCGTATCATTCGTCTCGTACCATTCGTCTACACTATTCTTCTCTGCTATTCGTCTCTGCTATTTACTGCTACCCGTACTGCTACCTGTATTACTACTACGTGATCTTTTAGAAAACTTTCTACGAAAACGTGAAACCGGAACAGGAAATGAACGAAAATTTGTAAAGAACCGAAAATAAATACCATATTTAATATAATAAAAACAACATTTCTCGGAAAAAGAGAAGTGCCAAAGGAGATAAAAACGATAGTCGTTAAAACAGTAGTGACGCCTACAATTATGAACAGTAGCAAGAATGGGACACTAATAGAGAGAAAAAAAATAAGAATCAATGGATCAAAGAATGGACAAAATCAGAAACAAAAGAATTACATAATATCTACAACTAGAACCAGTAGACGATAAAATCAATGAAGAGTGAAAAGAAAAACAGAAGAGGAAGACCAAGAGCTAAATGGATAGAGCGTGTCAGAAAGAAAAGGAAGGTTGTGAAGAATGGCTTAGTCCTTAGTCTGGGAGAAACTACGAAATCGAATACATAGCAGGAAAACGTGAAGACAATGAAGGGGTCAGAGCCAAAAGGGTTCAATTTCTTTTGTGGAAAAAAGAATCAACTAATTTTCGATGTTTTAACGCCATCTTTTAAACGGTAGAAAAAACATGTAAACAAACGTCTTGAATTTCTTTAAGGCAAAACGGTTCAAGTGTATTTAAACCTGTTTGGTGCTAAACAATTATTGTTAGAAGTTTATCTGACAGTGGCAACGTGTCATTGTGTTTTTGTTAGTTTATGCCATTGTTTGAAATTTTCCACTGATTATAAACTATTTTTGAAGGAAAATGAGTAAATCCTTTACTCCTAAAGGTAGGGCTTTATATTATAATACAAAATAATATTAGTTTGTTTTGTTTAAATAACATAACCTCAAAAAAATATGGTCGACATAAAATTAAGTTTTTTGTTATTTCTTTTAGCTAGTTGCAGTTATAATGCTAGTGACTCTGACCCATATATGACTGATGAGGATTCTGATTATGAACCCCCAAGTGTACCCCACCTTAACGTTAATCAGAGCCAGCATGTTAGTGAATTATTAGAGAATAATAGTTCAGACAGTGCTCATGGTATGTTACGTTTAAATACTGTAAAGAGTTTTATTTATCTAAATAACAATATTTTATTTCAGTTACTCCTAAAAGAACGAGAAAGAGAAGGTTGAATATTAAAGGCCATAAAAAACAAATTAGGAAAAATGCGAGACTGCAGGGTTTGGAATATGAGACTGCAAAGGGGAAAAAGGTTATGAAAAAGGAATTGAAAGCCTATGAACACAGATGTAGATATAAATGTCATGAAATAAACGAAGCAGATAGACAGATGTTGTTCACAAGATTTTATCAACTCAAGTCTTATGATTTACAAATCAACTTCATCACCTCATGTATTTCAAAGATTGCTCCCAAACGAAAAATAGCCCAGGCAGTATCGCATAAACAGTTTAGCACCATAATTAAACTGATGGGTGTTAGGGTATGCAAACCATTCTTCTTAAAAACTCTAGATATTACTACTAGAAGATTTTTAATAGTTTGTAATAAGAAAACAGATGAAGGTTTTATTGAAACGGATCAACGCGGACGCTTCGCACCTATAAATAAAATTAGTGATGTCATGCGAGATGATGTCGTCACCCACATTAAAATGTTTCCTCGATATCGAAGTCACTATTCTCGACTTGACAATCCCTGCAGCAGGTACCTTCCAGAAAATCTTAATGTTAGCAAAATGTACTCCCTTTATAGTGATTGGTGTACAGAAAAAAATAAGGCCAAAGTAAAAGAGTCATATTATCGACATATTTTCGCCACAGAATTCAACTTAAAACTTTCATAGGCCTCATTCAGACATCTGCCATACATGTGACAAGTTGAATAATATGGTTATTAATAGTTTTGATGCAGAAGTTAAGATACGAAGTAAAGTTGAGATGACATTACACCAAAAAAAGGTTGAAGCTGTCAAACAATCAAAAATTGATGACATTAATTATGGCATACAAAATCCAGAAAAAGTAAGGGTTATTTGCTTTGATTTGCAGAAAACACTCCCTACTCCATTATTAACTACAAATAAAGTATACTATCTACGGCAATTATGGACATACAACTTTTGCATATATGACTTGGTTTCTGGAAAATCGCATATGTTTGTCTGGAATGAGACTACAGCATCTAGAGGCTCACAGGAAATCGGATCCTGCTTACTTAAGGTGAGTTATTTCCAAATGCTAATGAAGGGGCGAGTTAATTAAATCACGTTTTTGTTTTCAGTTTATCAACCTCCCTCATTTCGCTCATGACAGTGATTCGTGCGCTGGACAGAACAAGAATAAAAACATAGCAAAGCTTTTTATGTTTTTAGTTCAGTGTAGTCATGTGAAATTAATCGATCATAAATTTTTTGAATCTGGACATTCTTATATGGAATGTGACCGATCGTTTGGTCAAATTGAGAAGAAGAAAAAACAATCCGTAAGTGTATTTATTCCTGAACATTGGTCAGATATCATTCGAAAAACATCAAAAAACTTCTACGTAGTCAACATGAACAGTTGTGACTTTGTAAGTTTTGATTATTTAAACAGTTTAATATTGGATCCAAAAAAGGATTCAGAGAAATACCCTATTAAATGGCGTGATATAGTATGGTTTTGTTACAAACATGATGAGTTTTTCTCATTCTTATTTAAAACTACAAGAAGTTCCCTTTCTCACTTTTTTAAGGCCAGAAATGCTCTAAGCTTCCACAAGGAAGACCATCTATTAAGATTACCGATTTATACAAAACATTATATACGACGGGTATAAAAATAAAATATGCAAAATGGGAAAATTTGCAACAACTTTTACCCTATGTACCTCCTATCCACCATAAGTTTTATAACGAATTACCCCATGAAGAAAAAAACATCATAAAACAATCGCGCGCAAATTCGAGCGGACAAACTCACGAAAGCAATGATGACACAGCTCGTAATGAACCAGATAGGATAATTTTGGATTCAGACTATGAAGATTAAAAACAACACCTTTTTCGTATTTTTTTATTACAATTTTTAATTTTTGTCTGTACCTTTCTGTACTAATAAACATGATTTAAACGCTTTTTTCTTTTGTTTTTTTTTTGTAGGCAAAAGGGTTCAAGTGCATTTTTTTAAATATGGATTTTTTAAACATTTTATTGAGAGGTAATGAGACATTAACCTAAAAACATTTTTTGGTTTTCGAAAAAAGGTTTTACAAATTTGTCACATATATTTTACAATAATCAAAAAACTTTAAACCGCTATAACTTTCGTTTCTATATTTAGCACTTGAACCCTTTTCGCTCTGATCCCTTCAAATATGCGGAGCTCAACCCAAACCACCATACACCTAAAGGTGGAAAGACTTAGGACTAAGAAAGTAGTGTAGTAATTTTATGATTTGTCAGCAGATCTTCAAAGTAAGCCGAAAAGCACATTTCCTGATAACAAATTTACCTAATTGCTTTTATAATCATGGAAGTATTTTATAATCAAATACTTTATTTTAGTAGGTACTTCATTTTAGTCTCGAGTGGTTTTTCAAAAGGTTTAACGTTCACGGAGAATCCCCTTTTTGTGATATTTTAAAATATTTGCCTTAATACATATTACTTAATAGGGTAATTTATATAAAATGATGCATATACTACATTTTTATTCACGTGTCATCACTTATAACATACGAAATAAATCGCAATAGAAATTTTGACATTGTTTTCATTCTAAGTACTTTATTTTGACTTTTCACGAACAGATCGTAACACTTTTTGATGGTAACGCTTTTTATCTTTATCTTTATCGTTTCTTATTAGTTGGCTTAAGTTAAAATCTATTTCTTGTCTTGAGCGTCCCCTACTCCAAATTCCTGCGCTCTAATGCGTTCTTGATATTTCTACTCCAGGACAATCTTGGCCATCCTATGTTACGTCTTCCTAACGGATTCTATATAAACACTCTACTAGGTCATATACTTTCTTCCATCTGTAGGAGATCTCCAGAACATTTTATTTTCCCCAATCCTAACCCTGCAGGGAATGTAGTGGTCATTGTGATGTCGTGTATTTTCCGTCTCCAAAGATCTATGTCTCTAGTCATTTCTTTTAACTCACGCATAGGTCTTTTGCATATTCATGTAATTTGATCGATCCATCTTGTTTGGATTCGTTCTAGTGATCTTTGCCTTCTACATTTCTTTGATAATAAGTCTTTCAATGTTTTCTATGTCTGCTGTTATAACATGTCCAAAGTATTTTAATGGTTGGAGATTAGCCATTTGCTGACGGTTATCTTATTTAAAATTGAAATATTTGAAATGTGGTCAGTCCACGGAATCTGTAACATTCTTCTCCAACAAAATATTCCAGCGGCGTCTATTTTTCTTCTTTCCGCTTGTCGTAGGGTCCAAGATTCACATCCGTATGTCAGTCTTCTTCTTTATGTGCCGTCTTCTACCGAAGGTTGGCGACCATCATACGATAGGTTTCTCTGGTTTTGTGCCGCATGAATTATGTTCGCAGCTTCTGGTATTTGAAACCATTCTCTCAAGTTTCTCAGCCAGGATTTCTTCTTTCTGCCCAAACCTCTTCTACCTTCAATCTTGCCTTCCACGATAAGCTTAGCAGACTGTACTTTCATTACGGACACATGGCCCAGGTATGACGCTTTCCTCCTTTTAACAGTTGTTAACAATTCCACCTCTTTACCCATTCGTCTTAATACCTCTGTGTTGGTCACTCTGTCTGTCCAAGGTATTCTCAGTATGCGTCGATACAGCCACATTTCTAGAGCCGCTAACTTCTTTATAGTTGCTGCTGTTAACGTCCACCCTTCTACGCCGTAAAGTAGCGTAGAGAGTACGTAGCATTTCGTGGCGCGCCATCGGAGGTTAATGCTTAGGTTGCGGTTGCTTAAGAGCTTTCTCATTTTGATGAATTTGGATCTTGCTATTTCAATTCGGATCTTAATCTCTACTTCTGGGTCCCACTTGTCATTTACTGTATATCCCAGATATTTAAATCGGTGTACTCTTTCAATACGTTCGTCTTCAATATGCAGGTCGATATGTTGAAATTTTTTTTTACTGATCACCATAAATTTAGTTTTCTTTCTATTGATCTTCAGTCCAAATCGGCTGCCAGTTGTATTAACTCTATGTAGCATCATCTGTAAATCTTCGATGTTATCGGCCAGTATAATAGTATCATCTGCATATCGAAAATTACTTATTGGTACGCCATTAATCTTGATGCATCTATTGTACTCTTCTAGTGCCTCTAGAAATATTTGTTCCGTGTACAGGTTGAAAAGCAGTGGCGAAAGAATACAGCCCTGTCTTACCCCTCTAGAAATGGTTATGTTTTCACTCACCATATGTCCATTCTTCATGTGGGCTGTTTGATTCCAATATAGATTTTTTATAATCTGGATGTCCTTAGTGTCAAGTCCTGAAAGACGTAATAGTTCTATGAGTTTGTCATGTTTGATAGTATCGAATGCTTTCTCATAGTCGATAAAACAGAAGTAAACATCTTTCTGTTGATCCAGGCATTTTTGAATCAAAACTTGTATTGCAAAGAGGGTTCTCGAGTTCCAAAACCGCATCTAAAACCGAACTGTGTTTTACTTATGCTGTGTTCTAATTTTTGCTCGTATTCTGGAATGGATAATATGCAAAAATACTTTAAGGGTGTGGCTCATTATACTTATAAGGTGATATTCACTACATGTCTTAGAATTATATTTCTTGGGAAGGGGCACAAATGTAGATTTCAACCAGTCCGATGGAACTTGACCAGTATCGTATATCTTATTAAACAGTTCCAATACTACATTCAGGTTGTTCTCGTTAAAAACTTTTAAGAATTCGACTGGTATTTCATCGCATCCTGTTGCTTTCCCATCTTTCGTTTGATCTATAGCTTTTATCACCTCACTTTTCAATATTTTTGGTCCATTCAGATCAAGAGTGTTCGTAGAAATATGACGATAATCCGTAAACAAAATCTTTTATGTAGATTGCCCAAGTCTGTAACTGTTCTTCTTTATCTACAATAAGTTTATTGTTCTCGTCTATTAACCTACCAAACTGTTTTTTCTTGTAAGTATAAGTAAACTCCTTGATTTTTTTATGCATGTTAAAATTATCGTGTCTTCGTTCTAGCTCTTCTATCTCTTGACATTTTTCTTGCAACCATTTCTCTTTGGATTCTTTTATCTTTCTGCTGACAGTTCTATCCAGTTCTTTATATTGTTCGGGATTATTCTTATTTTCCCTCCTTCTGTCCATAAGGTGTAATATTTCATCTGTCATCCACTCGTTCT